CGCGGGAATCGCGTGGGGAGTCGTGAGGGAGTCGGGTAAGCACTGAGTACGAGGGAGCCGAAATAGGGGCAAGTCACACTGAGTACGAGTACAACAGCTGAAAACTGGTTCGAGACTGGTCCCCCGTACTGTACGGGGGAGCCGATATAAGTACCGGTGACACGTACGGTACCAGGGGCACTTTTGCAAAAGCCCCAAGGGCAGAACTGAAAATGGGGTATTTGAAAGTGGCACCCGAATCGCAACATGGTGCCAGTTGTCCAAAATCCGACGGTACCAAAGGAGGGGTTTGGAAAAAAAAGTGCCAGGCCGAAAACGGGATGCAGCAGAAACAGCAAAAAGATAGACCAGGGATAGAGCCTTGGGCGGAGTCCGTAACAACCACTTGCTGCTGCAGCAGCAGCAACAGGAACAGCGGGGTCTGGATCTGCTGGAGATATGGATAGGCTGTTGGCCACACTCAAAGAAGAAGAAGAAGAAGAAGATATGGTTGGAGGGGCAAGAACGGACTGACACACAGCACTAGAAGCAGGGTAAGCAGGCGGAAGGACACTTTTGGGCGGCTGCAAGCTAGCAAACTGTTGCAGCTGGTCACGGTGCTGCTGCGCCATCAGGGCCATATCCTCGCACAACTTCTTGAGTTCATCAAACACCTTGGCGAGTTGGCCTGTATGGTCTTCAACAACCCGGACCTCCACTAAAGCCCTCAGGAGTGGGACAGTCTTCTCTTCCACCTCATGATCAGCTAAGGCGGGCACGGTACTGAAGACGGCTTCATGAGCCTTTGTTTTGTCTCCCCTCTCTTTCTCCTTCTCCTCCTCTTCCCTCTTCAATGCTTTTTCATAAAAGAACTGGTAGGGTGTCAATAAGTCTCTCAAGAGAGGTCCGTACTTCCTCACACTTCTGGGACAAAACACTCCTCTTCCCTCTCCTCACTCCCTCAAGAGCAACACTCAGAAGCTTCTCTCTTCTCTCTCTCTCTCTCTTTGCGATCGTGTAGACACAGACATTTAACGAATCCAATGAAAGAAACAACTCGAAAGCAATCAGAAGAGAAGGTAGAACTCCTAGCCGGAGCGGCAATTCATTTGGACTGGAGAGCAGCCAAAACAAAAAAATAAAGATCACAGAGATCTGATTCGGCCACACAGTCTGGTCCGACTACGTATGAGGTCCTCTCAAGCCTAGCCGGACTCAGCTCCGTGAAGACACAGCAAATCAAATTCAAAGTGTACTACGTAGTGCAATAGAGAATTTAGTGGTGTCCAAGATGCGAGTCAGGAGGTGGATTGTTAAAACATCTCAGCTGAGATCCCCTCAACAGCGAGTGTCCTGGTCCGAAAGCATGAACTCCGAGTCCTAATCAAATAGAGCAAGGTAACTAACGTCAACCGATTTGGGCCTGAGGGGCCCTTCTTGTTTGGTCCCGGTCCCACTGAGTCCCAAATGGTCCCAGTGGAGTCAGAACCGGGTCCCAACCAACAAGAGTTCCACAAAGACCTACTCTCTGCCCCTACCAAATTGAAAAACGAAATTTAGCCCCAGAACGAACCTACAGACTACAGCCGTTCAGAATGAAATAAACAAAGCACTGCAGAAAGATATAGCATGGCACGCAATATACTCCATTCATTCACTCGTCAGGTGAGTAAGCAGTTCACACACCTCACACAAGATCAAGACTATGGAGGATGGAAGAAGAACCCGGAATACCCCAGCAGGCAGTCAATTCCATGCACACACACATGAGCACCCTGGCGGCACGACACTTACCTGAGTGGCCGGGCTCTTGAGATGAACGAAACTCACCCCCCTCTCACATAGTCCTCCTGACCCAATTAGCATCCTCTACACTAGTGTCCTATCATCTAGGAGGGTCAACATCTACCCCAAAGGACAACACCGGATCCCCCGTCAATGTTGAAGATCAAAGTAGCAACTTGCAGTCCGTAGGTGCAGATATGGCTGCCACCCTCATGCTCGCCTAACTTGAGGGGAGCCCTAAAGTCACTCCTTGTCTTCCTTGAAGTCCAGATTCAAGTTTTAGGTGCCCTTCACTGTTGCCTCTCTCCAATTGCATCACGAAGTCCCACCGTGTGTCCCGCCACCACAAACATGCACTCAAGCAACCTGGCTGGGTCTAATGTCAACCCTACATGGCCCTGCCAGGTGGGAGCAGCTTCCCTTCACCACGCTGCCCCACTTAACCCTAACTTCCAACCCTAACCCTAAGTGGTAGCCCTTACCACTTAGGTTAGGGTTATGGCGGCAAAGTCAAATCTCACCAGCAAGGAGAATCCGCTCTGATACCAATGTTACGATCCTGGCCAATTTCGAAGTATACATACATCAGAAAGTACAATGCCGTCCAATTGCAAAAGGAAATGAATGAACTAGAGAGAAGAGAGAGGGGAAGAAGAAGAAGAAGTAAGAAAGAAGAAGAAGATGTATTCCAGCATAGACCAATGACAAGGCTCTTCTTCTTCGCCAACCAATCTCCTCCTCCTTATCTCCTCCCCTCTTATTCAAACAAGAAATAACAATAATAATGTTGAATGGCTGAACCAGAATCAATGTTCGAATCCCACTTCTACTGCAGGCACAACATGAGGTCCACCATAGCCATGGCCACCCATCTCCTTCCTTTCACGTGTAGGCCGAGGCGATGGCGGACTACCGAGGGCTCAACCCTCCTGTCCAAAGGACAACCCAAAGCAGCTATGCCGCTGCCTCCCTGTGCAAAGGACAACGCAAAGCAGCTATGCCGCTGCTCACTAGGCCGCCATGCCTGCCTCTGCCCCGAGCTTCCTTGGTGCAGGACTACCCCAACGGGGCCCTTCCAGATGCAGCGCCTAACACGGTGATGAAGATGGTGTCCACCATAGCCAGGTAGGTACCTCGCCACTCTCCTCCTCAGTCCCCGTCTCCCTCCTCCTCCTACCGGTAGAGCTCCACCATAGCCAAGGTGGAAGCTCCCGACTTCTTCCTCCCAACAGCGCTGTAGTACCCAGTGCTACTCTAGCCAACGCTCCAGCAGCGTGTCGCCAAACTTGCATATTGAAGAATGAGGCCGGGCTCTTCCCTCGGCCTCTTGCTATAGCGGCCTACTTGCCTCTTGGGCGGTGACTTCCAGGCCGCTCGGCCTCCCAGGCAACCGGTACCTCCTCCCTTTCGGAGGGAAACATCATTGCAGACTCTGATATTGCCCGTACAGGCTCTAGACTCAGACTGGATGGACTGGTACCGGCCTAGACCTAGCCTACCGCTAGTGGGCCTCAAAAAATGCCAACTTTGTCTTCTTCTGGTCGATCTCGAGTACCCGGCACATCTACTGCTACTGGGTGCGGTACCGGCCTACCTGCTACTTGAGTGTTTTTCCGCTGCTCTAAGTGCCACGAGCCTCTAGCTCCGCCACTTGAGTGTTTTCCCCTGCTGCAACCCTCAATGCCACGGGCACAGGTAAGTACCGGCCCTACGGGCCTGCCAAACAAGCAAGTACCCTTGCGGGTCACACACACGCTCGTATTGACAAGCACTCAGACAGGCATGCATACATACAGACTTAGAAAACTCAGCAGAATGCGGGAATCTCGGCAAGGCATCCTCCTTAGGTGGAACTTCAGAAATCAGCAGTGTTCTCAGTCTGTGTTATGGCGGGTCATTACAATTATATCTTCTATTCTTCTATCCTTTGACACTAAGTCACCTTCTGATTCTACTTTGCCTCCCAGCACAAAGGGAACTCTCTCTTGCACTCGGTGAAGTATTCCACTCGGAAACTTTTGAACTGATGCAACTTCATGTGAACTGCCCTCATGATACTTCTCTCCTGCAAATCTGTTCCTACAGCAGCAGTTCGAAGAGTGTGAGTCTTCCCTTGTATTACGAATTCTGTGAGCGAATAGGCTTTTCTTACACCATCTTTTCTTTAAAGAGCATGCAATTAGAATTGAACTTTGCATCTCTTGAGCATCTACAAGTTCTCTCATTTGAGATCCACTCCATCCTCTGGATGCGGTCCGGCTCTCCTTATGGTTCCTGCTTCTGCCACACCAATGGTATAGTCTCTGTGTTGACAGTGTCAGTTTTGTTTACTATTCGTTTTTGAAAATCACCTCGATGGTTAGGTTTTTGTCCGGCTGTCTGCGGATTCTTTTCCTTGTGGCCCTCGTTAGCATCTCGCTTCTGCCGTCTTGATGTTATTTGCTTCATCCCAGAGGCCTAAATCCCTTGCCTTGTCCATCCGTGTTTGGTTTCTTTGCATCTGACGTTGAAGATCAGCCCTAAGGTTGTTCGTGTCTGGTGCTTGAACACATGCACCTCACGAGGCTTTCCTTACGTTGGAGATCTTTGGACTTCCTCCCAAGGCTGGGTCTGTTGCTACTGTTCAATGAACTTCTTGTCATTTGCCCCTTCCTCTCTCTTGGTGTAATTTTCCATGCTTTTGTGGTAAGTTGATAACTCAAACGTATGTATGTATGAGAGGTATGTATTTCGGTCTTTGTTATCTCATGCTTTCTTTGTTGCAGTTCGTCACACTGGGTGGGTGACGTTCTTTACTCTTTCCATGTTCTATGCGTTTATAATGACGTTCTCTGTGTTTTTTTTTTTTTTTTTTTTTTTTTTTTTAAATGCTCCCCGGACCACAGGTGTGTATGCGGGGAACCCTGAGAAACTGAGCATGAAGGCGGCGTTTGGAAAAGTGTGGAAATTGGAGCAGCTCGGGGGAAGCATCATTGGGGGAACGCTGAAACTGTTACAGGAGAGGAAGAAAAGTCCTCCGCCACCACCTGATCCGTGCGTAAGCCACATGCTCATGATGCCCCTTCTTCCTTGCCAGAATACTGTTCTCCTGTGGTACCCATTGTGCTGTCACCCTTAAGCACTTTACCTCTCCGCACCTGCCTGCAGGGATATACTGCCGTGCCTTAAAGTTGTTGGGGGATTACATCCATCTTGCATCTCCATGTGCAAGTGCTTATTGCCCTGCTAGATGGTGGGTGTGTAGTGGTCTGCTGAACCAGTTGTGATACCATCTTGCATCGTTGTTGCAGCATGCTTTAGCCATACTCGATTTCTTTGCCATTGCTTGCACTCTTCTTGCAAGACCGTTGCGGCCTGACTATCTTGTACATGTGTCTGCATGGCTGATTGTTGGGCTACACTGACCTGGTTGATGGGATCGGGTACGGGTATGCTGCATTTGGTGGGGGGCAGTGGGGCATGTTATCCTAACAATGTTTTAAGCTTATGAGTTGCTGCCTGAGCACGTGTTTAGTGATGTCCTGACAATGCTTTTAAGTGTACAAGTTAAGGCCTGAGCACACGTGCTTAGTTGCAATTCACACGGATGTTGCCAGTGCTTCAGCGCCGGTCAAGCAACAAAAGGCCTACCATATGAAAGCTTTTAAAGTCTTTGGGCGCGATTTTCATGCTGTGTCAAGTAGTACCGCTGTGATTGATGTGTTTGGTACCTTCCCAACTTTGCCGGAAGATGTGCACTCATGTCCAGAGAACTGATTGAGCTCAAGACCTTCCCAACTTCGCTGGAAGATGTGCACTCATGTCCAGAGAACTGATTGAGCTCAAGAGCACCAACCCGACAAGCCCAGCAGATTGGCTGACTTGGCATCAGTAGGAAATGATGAGATCCAAAAGAAATGCAGTCTGAGCAATGTAGAACACATTCACTGTTCTCTGCGTGCATTGTGCACTGCATCGCCACTGCCGGTAGCGTGGTTGTGACCATTGACACATTTACAAATGCGTTTGGTAGTGGTATCCAGTGTCTGTTTGGGGTGTACCTACAGTGTGGCATCTGCATAGTGAACTTATGGGTCGTTGTGACAAAGTCAAGGGCCCCAGACCTGGTGGGTGCTCACAAGTAGACCTACCTGCAAGAGAAGTACGAAAGGTTGTTTTCCCATTTCGTCTCCTTTCGTTGTGCGTGACTGTGTGTGTTCACTTGCATGGATGAGAGAAAAAAAATAGCGGTGTGCTTTGCCACCTCTTATACTGCTACTAACTTTCCCAGTCAAACTGGAGAATCGAAAATGCATTCCAAAGACTTCGGTTGAACAGTGGTACTGGACCAATATGGCTGGCACTGCCAGCCAAAAGAAAAAAGACATGCCGCTGTGGTGGTTCTTCTTTTTTGGCATGGACGGGGAATATGCCTCAGCAAAAAGAGGCTCGGAGGGAGTGGTGGTTTAAGGAATGGAAAAAGGAGTGGGGAAGAAAGAGGAGAAGAGAAAAGGGGAAAAAAGAGGAGAAGACGCGAGGGAGAAAGGGAAAAAGAACGGACAAACAAGAGAGGGCAAGGGAAAAGTGACGAGCAAATGTTGACAGCCACGGGGTTTGCAGCGTTCAGGCAGTTGAGAAGAGCTTTCCACAACAGTCGTTGAGAAGTCGTAAGCGACAAAGATCAAAACAACGGCCAACAAGTAAACATGGGCTGCATACTTTCACCAGGAATTTCCTGGCTGAATCTGGCTGTTAGTCAATCTGGAATGGATCAGCCAGACCAACCATTAGCCAGTTGGATGATAGCAGCCCTCGGCACGGTTGCCCTTCAAACCCGGCCTGACGTGAGTTGCTTTGCCATTTTTTTTCCACCGAGGTGCTAGTCAGCACAGTGCATAAGACCACCCGGGGTAGATCATAGAGTAGTAACCCAATGGTGTGGTTTAGGGCAGTGAAGAGTCAGTTGGTGGTCACAGGTGAAATAATGTGTAGGAGAGGAGTAATGAAACGGTTTTCACCTTTGTAGTAGTAGATGCAGATCCCAGGGCTCGATCCCTAGACCCCGACCACACCTGTGTACAGTATCAAGTCAATCCCTGTGTGTTTGAACCCGTGACCTGTGTCTTGGTAGCCGACTGTTGTCTGTCGTATGTCTGTGTAGCTGTCGGGTTTTGAACCGTAGATCTGTCGAGTAGGTGTCATAGCTGTGTAGGGGTCGTAGTTGTTGCAACTCTGAAAGGTCAAGGTTAGACCGTATGTCACATACCGAGCCTGCACACGGGCCCCATTCCCGGGCCCCGACGGTTGCTGAGGGGCCCTCAGGCCGCGTGCCCATCAGACACGCGCCCGTGAGGCCCATGGTGCCCCCCAGGTCGCAGGTTTCGATTACAGGCAGCATTTATTTATTTATTTATTTGCTGTCCTATTGTTCGGACTTCGTTTCGGACTTGCAGTTCCCAAGGCGGTGCCTTGGGCTGGGTACACCAGGGGCAGGACCGTTTGAGGCCAGCATCAGAGGCGTGCCCAGCCAGGCCCAGCGCTACTTATAGCTGGGCAGCGGCTGGGCACATACACATTTCGAATAGCTCACTTCTTGGGCAACACACTGCTGGACCAGCACCGCACGTGACAGCGCTGCACTGTGTTAGAGTAGGGGTGTAGGTAGGCAGAAGGGCAGAGGCCATACCTGCAGCGGCGAACTTACCTGCCGCGATCGGTGGGCCTCCATGCAGACGGTCTGGAAATGACGACGACAACGCAGTCAGTGCCGAGGTCACCACATGCAGGTTAGAAATCAAGGAGGACGACATCTTCTCCTTCCTCACCCTCCATCTCTCCTCTCCTCGTACCGTCTTCTTTTTCTTCTTCTTCTTCAGAGAGAGAGAGAGAGAGAGAGAGAGAGAGAGAGAGAGAGAGAGAGAGAGAGAGAGATTACCGGCAGAGGTTTCACGGGCATACGCCCAGGATCTGATTTGACATTTTTGCGGCACTCGGCAAGGGACCTTTTTTTGGACGCCATCGCGATCTTGGTCTTCTCCCTCGCCTCCATCTTCGTTTCGCCTTCCCCCATCTCCCATCCGTGATATCTTCCCCCATGTGCATGTGCAAGGAGGGACTGTTCTTCTGTGTATGGGGTCCCTCCTCCCTCTCTCACATGTGTGGTGTATGATGGGGTGTCGCGTCAGGTGTATCTTCGAGTCTTCCGCTGCGCTACATTGTGCTATTTTCATATGTATCTGGATGTACAGTGCTTGTTGATGCTTGGCTGACACTGCATTGTCCATACAAGTTCTTTTCATCACTTTGCGGATCCTTGGCTCCCACACGTGGTTGGTATTGGAGCTGCGCTAGGTGAATCTGGATTTGCTCATGGACTGAATGCTTTGTTGAGTTTCGTGCTTGCTACTAAGTTCTCTAAGTCTGTGTGTGTGCACGCTTGCTGGACTGCATGTCTGTCTGAGTGATGGTTGGCTTGAGTGTGTGTGTGGCCCGCAAGGGCACTTGTTCATTCGTTGGGCCCTCGGGGCCGGTACTTACCGTGGCCGTGGCATTGAGGATTGCAGCGAGGAAAAAACACTCAAGTGGCGGGGTAAGAGGCCCGCAGCACTTGAAGCAGCAGGGAAACACTCAAGTAGCAGGTAGGCCGGTACCACACCCTGAAGCGGTAGATGTGCCAGGTACTGGAGGCCGAGCAGAAGAAGACGAAAGTGGCATTTTTAGAGGCCCAGTTCTAGGCGGGTACCAGTCTGAGTCTAGGGCCGTGTACGGGCAATATCAGTCCGCAATGATGTTTCCCTCTGAAAAGGAGGAGGTAGTGGTTGCCTGGAAGGCCGAGCGGCCTGGAAGTCACCGCCCAAGAGGCAAGCAGGCTGCTATATCTCCAGGCCGGGCGAAGAGCCCAGCCTCATTGTCGGTGTGCAAGTTTGGTGACACACTGGTTGGAGTGCTAGCCTGGAGCAGCGCTGCTGGGGACGAAGCAAGGACTTGGAGGAGGAAGAAGGACAGGAAGGGGGAGGAGCGCCAGAGGTACTTACCTGGCTATGGTGGCAGCCATCTTCATCACCTTGGGGGGCGCTGCAGCAGGGAGACCCCAGCTGTGGAGAGCTATACCAAGAAGCTTCGAGGCAGAGTCAGGCATGGCGGCCTGAGCTAGAGCAGCCGTAGCTGCGTTGCGTTGTCCTTTGCACAGCAGGGCAAGGCTCAAGTAGTCCGCCATAGCCTCGGCCTATGAGCATGAAGAGTGAGGGAAGCGGCCATGGCTATGGTGGACCTCAAGTGATACCTGCAGTAGAAGAGGGATTCGGACTTTGATTCTGGTTCAGCTATTCAACATTGTATTATTATTTCTTGTGTGTATAAGAGAGGAGGAGATAAGGAGGAAGAGAGGGTTGTGAATTCAAACTCGTCTTCTTGTCACTTTGTCATGCCTGCAAACAGCGGTACAGCAACTGGCGACATGCACAATACTCAAGATATCGTAACCAGATATGAGTTCTCTTCAACTGGCTATGGCGACTGGGCGCCCACACAACTCACTGTTCGCACTCTGGATCATGGATTGTTTCATTTGAGAGCGTGAAGGAGGACAAAGTTTACGATCATCCGCTTTGATCATGCCACTAGGCATTTGATTCAAGCATTGGACAATGATTCGAAGACTTTGTTGCATTTCTTCAATGCGGACACAATAACGATCATAACAATCTCCTCGTGTACCTACGGGTACATCAAATTCTACTTTGTCATAAACATCGTAGGGTGCTGCCCTGGATGTCCCACACGCAACACTCAGTATCATACACAACACACACACACACTATGCTACAGCTATGGCAGC